CATTTAGAACCTGAAAGAAAGAAAGTTGCATGCTTCTATTTGACAAAGTCAAGTAAAAGTTTAGAAAATTAATTGGCCGAAGAGTTAGATAACGCCTTATGGCTTTTACCATAAAGGACGGTAGAAAAGGGTTTATATCGATGACATTTATAAGTAGCACATGAAAGAAAATCTAAATAACTGAATGATATGCAAACAATCTTCATATACTGTAGAACTTCATAGAACACTTATACAAAAGCAGGATTATCGAACAGCGGAAAAATTCCGATTTCATTAGTGAGAAGTAGCTGTTTGAAAACGCTACCAGGACATGCTATAGTTGGCCGCCTCAGATGGTAGAAGGATACACAAAAAATAACAGCAAAGTCACGGATTCAATAAAATCACATACTCTGAAGACGAGATGATACAGAAAGAAACTAATTGACATATTGTTCATCGAGGCTTCTTAGAAAAATAGTTAAAACAATATTTCGACACTATTGGAATCATATATATACAGATGAGAGAACAATGATTGTGCGAATGCAGAAAAGGTTAATTGATGAGATTTTTTTCAGATCCTGCAATTTATGCATAAAAATCATACTCTCAGTAGCTACTAGTGACATAATACTTCAGAGCAGATTTTACCCACAGCAATACTCAAGGAAGACGAGAAACGATAAAGAATTGAGCAGCTTCTCGGTGACACTTGATACATTTTTTGAATATCAGTTAAAAAATTACCGCTACACGCAGAAAATTTTTTCTACATTTGAAGGTGATCGTTCCTTTTTCTCTCAATGTACCAATTGATATGGTCTACACTTTTCTAGCTCATCCTTGTAACTGATGTCTATGAGTTGACATTATTGCAGTTCTAAACTCGATCATTCGATTATACTGCTGCCTTGATATCATTGAACAGAGTATTCAAAATAATTGTAACTCAAGAAGAGAGGTGAAGGAACACAAATTCTCTTAGACTATTTCATCTTATTGAGATATAGTTTCATCAAAAAATTATCAGTTTATAATCTTCTGATGTAGAACAAATATATTTAGCTCAATTATGTGAAAACATAGATAAAACTAGAAATAGTTTCTATAGATATTATTCATATTCTACTGTGAGAAGCCTAAATAACATCTCACATCTACCAAGGAAGAAAACTTTCTACGTTTGGATACTTTAATTTACTTTTTTTTTCAAAACTTACCTCATTTCGATAACTTTTTATAAATGTTGAAAATAAGACTAAATAACTTCGTTTTACCTTTCATATGTAGAAACTACCACATTTTTACTTATTCAAAATACCATTCCAAAAAAGATTATTGTGGTGTCTTTTTCAAGGTTCGACGGGTACGAAACTCTGCTACCGACTATTTTAAGAAACATTGTTGGAAAACATGTCGAACATACTACATCTAAAATGATTGCTACAAGAGAATTGAAAACAGGAATAAACATGTGTTTTTAGTTTTGAAAGAAATCAGCAAAAACTAAAGAAGTGTTTGATGGTTAAATAAACATTCGAAACAGTAGCTTTCATGTTCCTTTTAATGAAATTCATTATTTGCGCAATTGATTTTGATCAGGTATGAGCTGATTATCGAAAATCTTTTGTAGCCGCCTCAATATACTAAATACGTTTATTTAATAGTTGAAAAATCGTTGAAATGGCGCAGAAGAGTTGTATGCTAATACGTATATCGATCGAACGCATTAAAGTAGAAATACTGCAAGTATAGTTTTCTGTAGAAAATCGGCACAGTTAGAGATATATTTATGCGTTCATGTCAAGTATGTGTTCTTCCTTAACTGCTGTCTCCTTGTAGATTGAAATGGCTTCTATGGATGATAACGTTACATTGGTCAAATACACTCCTCGGATAACCACTATTTTCGACAAGACAAATGAGGAGCCAAAATCAATGCTAAATGCCCGAAATGCAAGAAACGATGAGTATAGCACCATCGCTCGAATCAAAAATTATACGTTTCAACAGAATATGTATGACTTTTTCTTTTGTTGTCAAATATCATTGTTGTTGCTCTTTTCTAGGAAGTATTTTTACTGGTCGATGCTGGATTTCTTACCCAAACCTATCTGTGTTTTGCCTATGATCACAACTGTAGTTACGATCATAGGTATATTGGTACTCTGTTTGGCCGCACCGAGATCTTCAGGTAGGTACTTGTTGGTTCTTATGTATTCTTCGAATTTCAACACAATAAAAATCCATAGTTAATTTGGTTCTGTTTTATCAGTATTCTCAGTTTTGGTTAAAAAAATTTGAATTATGATCGCATTTGATATAGACATATTCGAAGCAAATCATCAGGAGAGGGCAGAATGATAATCATTGAACTTGATTCAGTTCTCCATTTCAAACTAGGAATGGCGAATGCGAATCAATCAAGGTGATTATCACCAGTAGATCTGATACTTTGTCCATAGATCGAATCTTTATAAGGAACAAGGACAATAATTTTCTCTTAGATGAAGGTTATTCCATTGTATATATTTTTTCCTCATGTTTCAATAAAACAAAGAATTTCACTATCTGTTTTTTTACCAGCTGATGCTGCAAATTGTTACTTATTGCAGAAAAATCAACTTTATCCTATTAAATCTTCTTGAATCACTTCTCATATAGTTTTTGGTAATAATTTTTCACACCTATGAATGAAAACAGCAGTTTATTCTGGATTTTTCTCTCCCCAGGTCGAGCAATCAGATAGTAAGATCTGACAAGATCTTGGATATAATAGAAATAAGAAACAATACGAAAACATAAAAGTGACTTTCTCATAGAATGTCACGAAAGAAAATATGTCTTAATATGTCTTTTCCACGGAACACATCTTCTTTACATTTTCTCACTTTATGTTGCCTGTAGAGGAGAGTAAGCACTATCTATACTCAATTTATATCTTCCTTCGTTCTGCTATCATTTTTAAATGAGTAAAGGTATCCTATTCTAGTATGTTCAGATACATTAGTTTTCTTTTTCAATCTTTCTGTTTGGTTCACGTATGTTTTCTCATATTTTCTAGTTATTTATTTCCGTTATAGCTCTTTGAACCCATGAAACTTTGTATTGTGCATCATAAAATAATACGTTTATCTGACTAAGAACTGGTTAGTAGTTGATCATTTTCACGAATTGGACAAATACTAAGCACATTTCTATTTTAACATCGTCCCCATGTCTAGACAATAAAAATGTGCAATAATCATAATGTCTTGAAATTATTATTTTCAATCAATTCTAGCAAAGAACGCATTGTATTTAATCTCTATAAATATATTTGAAACGAAAACTATATTGGATCATGATGATGAATAGGAAGCACAAGATTCCAAAAATCCATTCACATTAGCATCGATATACTCCTATTTAGATGAATGTTTCTCTTCTATAAACTCACAGGCTTATACGTATATTCTTCCTTTTTCACCTATGATAAAGTGCGCCTGACTGAAAAATCGTTTTTGAAAATTGATCCAGGCCCATTTTAGAATGTTAAAGATACTTGCTTCGAATTTCAAATAAACAGATGCCATGAAAAGAGTTGCATCGATGGGCCGATAATTCGTTGTTTATAGTGCAACAAGAACTTGATTCACTCCTTTTTTTCAAATTATTATCATTATGAGACTAATCAAGTATTTAATCTTTTATTTCACTCTCATTTTTCATATCACTTTTATTTTCTTATTGAGAAAAACGTTAGCTAAAGATCTTCTTCTTTTATACGATAAGTAGAGACGTGTAAGATGAGTTTGTAGGAAGTTAGCTTGTGAAAATCTTTCTTTATAGAGATATAGTCAATAGTGCAAATTCTTTTGGAGTTTCTTTCTACTCTATGAGTGTTAGGTCCTTTTCCCCCAGTTTCTTTATTCCTTCTTTCTTCACAAAAACAAACAACTGAATAATCAAAAATAAAAAGCAGCAAAGAATGTTCTTTCTCTCTTTCTCTTCCACCGGTTGGTTCCATCTCCTAACTATGATAGAGGGATGAAGATGGCCGTCTTATGTCAGGAGATGTCTCCACTGACATAACACTTCCCCCCTCCAAAAAGTTACAAAGTAAAAGACAAGAAACGATATTGAAGAATTCGAACACCATGAAAAGAAAGAATCGGAAATGAATACAGCAAAAATAAAACAAAAAAATTAGATGATTCATATGTTGAACGCGAAACAGTGTGCGAAAAGAGGACAAATATAAAAGCTGATGAGAAAGGAATTGAAGTAGAAGGGGAGAAAACAAATGTTAGGTACTAGTTAAGAGTAAAAATGTTTATGATACCATCGGAGTGAGTGGTAGATGTAATTTAGCAGCAAGCTGTAAGAGAAGTATTTGAGAAACACAATTTTCAAAAAACAGAAGATAGCTGACGCATTGTTGAGGTGAAAGTTAAGAAAAGTTGAAATAAACAAGAGAAAAAGATATTAATACTAAATAAATCATGTGAGTATTTGATATGGGCAGATGAATTTTGTTAGAAAACTTGTATCACGTCTGGAATGATTCACGAGAATATACACGTCTGATATTGTTTGAATGCACTTGAAATTGTTGTAAATGTTCATCTTCAACCATGAAAGATAGGGGTGAGAGAATTCGAACGATTCGAACCGGACCTGTGTATCGAGCTTTTAGTTTGTGTCGTCCAACAAAAACTTTCATCCACACAAGGTCACTTAGAGCGAAAGTCGGATGCGATCGATTTTTATCAAAACGAGCTTTTGACAGTTCTTCTTGATGTAGTATATGTTGTTTTGCTTGTTTTAAAGCTGTATTTCTGTATTGCATCACTTGCGTCCAATAATCATGTGGTTTGCTGAAAACGAAGGTAGTTGCATGAGGATTAAATGGATGTCGTGGCCGTCGTTCGAATGCTAGTTGATATGGACTAAGTCCAGTTGAGCTATGTATGTCATTATTGTAAGCATAAACGATAGATGGTAAAAATGTGTCCCAATTGTTTAGATCAGTATTACAATATTTGGCGATTTGTGTTACGAATGTCGAATTCCATCGTTCCGTTTGCCCATTTGTTTGTGGATGATATGGTGTCAAAAAAAATCTGTTTACAACCAACTAAATGTGAAATAGCTTGTAAGAGTTCGTTCTTGAAGTGCGTGCCTTGATCAGTAATAATTGTGTCGGGTGAACCATGAACTAAGATAATTTCTTCCATTAATATACGAGCAGTATCATGTGCTGTATTTGTAGGTGATGCTTTAGCAAAAACATAACCAGATAAACGATCAGTGATAACTAAAACATATCGATTTCCAGAAAGCGAAGTGGTGGTGGGTCCCCACCAATCCATACCTAAAACTTGAAAAACTTCATTAGGAGGTTTAATAGGTTGTAAAAATCCTGGAGGTTTACGCCGATTCACATTAAATTGTGAACATTTATCACATGATTTAATATAAGATGTTACTGTATCTTTCATACGTGGCCAATAATATGTGTTTCTTAGCATAGACCATGTACGTCCAGTACCAAAATGACCACTTAATGGATGATCGTGATAAGTAGTCATTATTTCTGGAATTAATTTCGAAGGTGCATAAACAAGTTTAATAGTAGTATCATCGCGGTTAACTAATTTATACAGAATACCATGTTGAATAATAAACGATTCATAGCGACGATTATTTCGAATTTGTTGGATTATTTGTTGAATAATTACGTCCTGTGCTTGTTCAGAACGTATACGTGATAAACTAAAATCATGTAATGGAGTAGTGATCGGCAGAGACGAACACGTAGATTGAGATGTAGTTGATGTGGATGATGCATTTGGTGAAGAGGTATGTGGTTGAGCTTGAAGTTTTGATTGTGCTCTGGTTGTACCAGCATTAATTTCTGCGTTGATACTCGCATTCCGAGTACAAGTGTGTTCTAAAATAGATGGTGGAGTACATTGTGTACGTTGTGGTTTGGGTACTTGTTCATCCCAATTGTCAGTACCAATTGGCCAATCATCATGTGTTACAGCTGCGGTAGATGGATTAATGTTGGTAGATGTTGATGGTGGAAAGTGTCGTGAAATATAATCAGCAGCTGCGTTATGTGCACATGGACGATGCTTGACTGCAATAATTTGTGGCAGTATATCTTGTAATTTAAAAAGCCAATTCATTACTCTTTTATTATTGATTTGTTTCTTATGAAAATTTTCAAGTGGTTTATGATCAGTTTCGATAATCAAATCAGAATCACCTATATATGATCGAAGTTCAGATAGACACCAAAAAATAGCTAATGCTTCTTGTTCAATTGTATCATATTTACGTTCGGTATCATCTAACATACGTGATTTAAAATAATTAATTTTTGTGCCATTCGGTGTGTCTTGCCGTAAAATTCCACCTATTCCAATATTTGATGCATCAGTTGTTAAAATAAATGGAGTTGATGGATCTGGATATTCTAAAAATAATGGATAAGTTGTCAGAAGACGTTTAAATTCATCAAATGACTGTTGTTGATCAGGTCCCCATTTAAATTCATG